ACCTGATTTTTTGGGAAGAAGATAAATGGCTGGATTTGTAAGATTATAAGACTTAAGGAAAAAGATGCAGGAAAAAAAAAAAAAACCACTCAAAGATGTTTTGGTTTTATGTATTTCTTTCGGCAACTTTATTTTGCAAATATGTTGATAGCACAGTCTGAGCTGTCGTGCTAATAAAAGATTTTGTCAATGCCTTAGTTGCTGACATTACTATTGGTGGAGATGGTGTGTATTTTTTTTTTTCTTTGAGTCAAATAGAAACATTTTGGGATTTAGAATTACATTCAAGTAACTTGAAGTTGAAAGCACTCCAGTACTTGGAACAAAAACCACTGGGTCAGAATATGAAGCAGAGATCTATATTTTAACTATAAATGGAATATTTATTTAACTATAAATATAGAGGAGAAATTGAAGATTGTACTTCTTTAAATCTACCTTTAGGAGGTTAGAAGTGTAATTGTTTAGAATGAATTGACATTTCCTGTTGTTACTGGTTAAATACATCTACAAAGACTTTATTCAGACTTGGAGCTTGCAAGTGAGAAGACATGAAGATGCTGAGGTGGCTGGATGAAGTACGGCTGAAATACGTGAGAGCACTAAAAGGAATTTGGGAGAATGAGTTGTGCGTTCCTCTGTCTTAGAAGAGCAGAAACAGTCTTTAATAGATGAGGGCTTAATAAAATTATGAACATGTAGCTGCTTTTGTCTCCTTCACAGGAAGATGTGTGACATGAGTACAATTTTTTTAGTAAATGTATTCAGTAACTTAGTGATTCTGTGATTTGTGTGTAATATAGGGCTGATGACAAAGCTCATTTGGAAAGACTTTTGGGCTTTGATAGTATGTATTAAGTTGCAGACTAGATCCTTTCAAATTTCTTATTTTGGCCTTGTTCAGACCACCTGACCTCAACTCTACAATCTCTGCAAACATTTACAGCTGTTCTGTGGATTCATCTGCCTCAGGATCTTTGCAATGCTTTAAGAATCTGCCTACATACCCATTTTTACAGTTGAACAGCAATTCTTAATGGAGACAACTTAAAGTGGTGAATGTATCAATACAGTTGCAAATCTTCTACAACTGTTTCATATATTATATGAGCTTATTTGTGCTTCTAAAGATTCCAGAAGCTTTTTGTCATTTTAACCTCTTTCACTGCAGTACTGAGAGGTAGATCCTTCTTGACCGTGCTAGGGTAACAGAATAAACCCAGAGATGTAAGAGTATAAGGTCAGGCGCATTAATCTGTATGAATAGCCCTCAGAGAGTGAGAGCACGACCCATGTGGTGCCAAAAGTATCTACAATGAGAATTTTTTTAGAAGTTCTGAATTTAAAACTGAAAAGTTTTAAAACATAGTTTGTCCATCAAAGTGGAATGACTTAACAAGTGTTTAATGAAAACCTACCTTTGCTTTTTTTTAGTGGTGTGTTGAATGTTAAATATTTCTGCCCTTTATTGGAGAAATGGTAAGTCATCCTTATCTTGCAAAAACTGGTATTTTTTTCTCTGAAGGTAATTTTCTACTGATCATGTTTGTCAAATGTGTCTCAACACATCTTACAATAAAAACACATGCTTTGCAAACCCTACTGTAGGACACTTGTTAGTGGAAGCACAATAGTACAGTTTCTAACCTCCAGTGAGTACCGCGTATCTTTTAGAGACCTCCTTTTGAGGTCTGACTGGAACAGGGTACCTTACAGAGTCAGACTGTGCAAGTTTTTATGCAGAGTTTTCCTTTGCTCACTGATCTCAGAGTGTGGCTGCACCAATATCTGTGTGGTCACCAGTGGAGAGCTATAAACCTGTGCTGCAAAGCTGTGAATAGGACTGGAGAGGACTTTCTGAAACCACCTTGCTTGTGGGGAGATGGTAACAGCAATCTCCACCTGTGTAGCCCTATAGGAATTTTGGGCTTGTCCTTCTGGATGCTTATGTATGGGCAAACATTTCAGCACATTTGTAGCCCTAGTGATGTGAGTAAAATCGTACACATGAGTAGTTACACCTGTAGGCATGCAGCTAGCTTCCTGTTTTCTCCAAGTTCACCAGTGAAGTTTATGAACACGATGGTGGGTGAAAATATTGAAGAAATATTAATAAGGTTGATAAGCATAAGAACAGATGAATGAAACTACAAAAGAATACTCTTTCTGTGTGTTTATATTTAAGACACCTGCACCAGAAGCCTCAAAAAACTGTGGAGGTTAACTGTATTTGCAATTAATTCATCTTAGAAATCAAAAGAAATGAGACCTTATTTTTTTTAATGTAGTATACATGATGCAATTTGAATTTGCATTTTTGTTTAAAGTTGAGAATTAAAGCATTAATATAGTCACAGAAAACACAAATCAGGACTCTAGGAACACTTCTGATCTAGTAGCTGATCAGCTGAATTCATCAGTAGCACCCTCTAGCAACCATTTTCTACAAGTTATCTTACTACAAGAATACTGTTAATATAACTCCAAACCTTAGTAAGTTTTGCAATATTAAAACCAATCTGTTTGTGACCAATGGAAAAGCAATATTTTTAAAACATATTTTGGTGTAGATTGGAAAAATACTCTGGTGACCCAAAGTCATTTCAAATTGTTTTCTGAAGGAAAAGTTAATATTCAATGCAATTAGATATATTAATATATTTGATTTCAACATCAAATGCATCCCAGTGGTTACACTTTGGATTGCTGACTGAACTTTGTGAAGTAGTTATGTCTTCAGGTCTGTGGTTCTGTATTCAAGCAGATTAAAGTCTGTTCTGCTGAGTGTTACAGAAAGCAAGGATTCCATAATGCAGTCTGAACATGCACACCTCTGTTTCTCACAAGGTACTACATAGTTTGGCTTACAAATAGAAAAAAAAAATTAGAATGGTTACTTAGAGTAGTAGCATTAAGAGTAGGTAACAGAATTTACTTTGTGTTACAGGTAGGTATGGAAAATATATATGTGAGGCAGCACATTTGATAGTTACCCTTACTGTAGTATCCAGTTATGTACGTGACAATATTATTGTCTTGAGCAAAATAGATATTAATTATGAGTATAGGTGTGTATATATATATACTCATTCTTATCTCACGTTTTTTTCCTAAGAACATTATTAGAAAATTTTGAGGTTAGAGAGGTACTGACCCAAACATGTACAGAGCTTGGCCTCTGAGTTCATTAAATATGGGTTAATAACATATTATAAAGAAATCATTGTCCTTATTACAGTTATTAGGTAGTTAGTCAAATTATAGCTTCAAAGGAATGCGGAGCATGGAGAACTCAGGACTAAATTATGCATTTGAACCTTAGGCCAGCTTTTACTGTTGAGACAGTTTGCTGCTAAGAGAAATTGTGTGTCATTGAAATTAAATGCCTTTCTGAAGATGGAAGGTTCTAGTTTTTAATGAAATTACCGAGTGTGGTGCAGTGAAATGATTAAAACCTGTATTCCGGGAATGTGGCAGAGGAAAAAAAAAATCAATAAATGCTAGCAAGCCTTTGCTGTCTGATGTGAATCCTGGGAATGAAATAAGCTGGTACAAAAATAATAATTAAAAACATATCAGCACATTAATTTATTAAGCATGAATCTCATGAGATGTCATCTTCACTAATTTTTAGCACACATCTTACTGTATAATGAGCAGCTTTCTTTTCTTGTAGTTGTATTATGCAGCATTTTTGCCCTTCCCCCAATGTTCCCGCACTGCAATCATTGTGCTTGCACTTATTATGTTACAAATGACCGAGGTAAGGCTGACATTCTCATCGCATGCAAAAAGAGCACGGCTGCCAAGCTTTTTTTTCCCTGCTAATGAAGCAGCTTTATGAAGTCTACCCATGTGTTAATACTAATGAAGATCCTCCACCACAATTAAAATCACAGCCACAGTGACTCAAGAGGAAACGGAAAACAATGGCATCTTTCTGCTTGCACATATTTCTTTATGCTGAGATCAGCTTTATTTAGAAATAAGATTGATTTCAAAATGCGTGTATTAACTGGGTGAAGGAAGCAAACATTTCTGAGTTTTGTAGATGTAGTTCCAAGTAGTTCATCCTGAACTAACTCGGGTGTTCGCAGTGCTATGGCATAATCTTACATCTCAGCTGCTACGGTTTACAGAGAGCAGTTCTTGGCTCTTGAAGTGCGCTTCAGCCCTGGCTGAGTTTGAGACGATGCCCCCCCAAAAAAGGAAAAAGAGGATACCGTGTGCACAACGCCAAGGGCTGTCGCCGTGCAGCGCAGCCTCGTCCTCTTTCACAATCGTTAAGGTGAAGTTGGCTCAGGACAGGCTTTTTTTTTTTTTTTTTTAAGTGCCCGTGCCAACTGCCCGTAAACCTCAGTGCTTCCGCATCGCGGTGACTTCACCGCCTGCCTCGCTTCGCTGGTTCTGCTGGAATTTACCCTGTTCTCGCGAAGTACGAAAGTTGGCCCTCGCTTCCACTCGGAGCTCTGAGCTGCTCGGTTTCTTGAAAATGTCTTCTTGGGAATACGGGTCGCCTTCTCGCCCCAGCCGATGGCCGCTGTAGCAAAGCACCTTCGTCGCTATTTTCTGTTCCTTTCCTACCCGAGCTTACCTGTAGTGGAGCAGCGACCCCGGGCACGCGAGCTGCGGCCGTTCCTCCCGGCCGAGATCCATCCCGGAACGCGACCGTTGCGGCCGTGCCCCGTCGCCGCGGAGCGGGAGGCGCGCACGGCCTCAACTTTTCCCGTAGGCACAAAATGACGGCGCGCGGCGGGGTCGGTCGGCAGCCCTGAAGCCGCGGCTCGCGGCGCCTCACCCGCGGGTCGCGGCGTCCCGGGGTCGGAGCGAGAGGAGCGGCTCTCCCCTTCTCCCGTCGCGTTAGCGACAACTTTGATTGCGGCGGAGCGGAGCCGCGTCGCTGACGTCACTCTGGGCCGGCGGAGCCGCACCAACCGCGCGCAGGGAGCGGCCTCGCCCGGAGCGGCGGCACTGCGCGCCCCCGCGCGCGCCCCCGCCCCTTCCCGGGGCTGCGCGAGGCTCCCGGGAGCGTCGGGCAGGGGCCGCCTTCCGGCTCGCGCAGCGGCGCCCGGGCAGCGGCAGAGCTCCGCCGGCCGCGAGGTGAGTGCGGGCCGCGGGGCGGGGGGCGCCGCGCTCGGGGGCGGCCGAGGCGGGGGGAGCTCCGCGGCGCCGAGCCTCGCGCGGGGCCGCCCGGCACCGAGTCCGGCCTCCGTCCGCGGCCGCCGCTCCGCCCGCCGGTGCGGGCCGTCCCTTTGTTGTGCGGAGCCGGCGGTCGGGGCGCAGCGCGGCGCCTCGGGACGGGGCGGCCGCGGTCCCGCGCGAGTTTAAACTTTACCGGCGGCCTCGAGCCCGTCCCCGGGCCGGCCCGGCCCGCTCGCGGCTCCGCCGGCGGCCTCCCGTGCCGGCGGCCCTTCGGCGCGGCGCTGCGCCCCGCTCCGCCCGCTTCGCGTCCCTGCCCTCGGCCCGCGCTCCCCGGCCGGTCCGGCTGTCAGCTCGGGGCGGCCCGAGCCTGGCGGGGCGCGGAGCGGAGCGGCCGCTGACGGAGGGCTGCGGGAGAGCCGGCGCCACTCGGTCGAACGGGGCCTCCGCGGAGCTCCGCGCTGCCGCCGCGGGTGCGCGGCCGTTGGTCCGCCGGCGCGGCGCCTCGGGGCCGGCGGGGTGCGGGGCGGGCGGGGAGCGGCGGCGCGCGGAGCCTCCGCCGTCGTCTTTTGTGCGCGCTCTGCTCCTCGCGAAGGGGGCCGGGCGGCCGCGGCCCCGGCCGGGCGCTTGAAATTTATCCCTTTGTGTATGTTACAATCTCCTCCATTTTTCCTGCCCTTCAAACAACGAGCCTTTCGCCATCTTGGGCAAATTGGTATTCCCGAGTCTCTCCGTCTTTTTTAGGGGGAATAAGTGGAAATCCGGAAAGTCTTTTTGGATCCGACTCAAAGTTTAGGAAATGTTACGGGGATGGGCGGTGACGTCATGTTAAGTTTAAGGGGATTTTTTCCGAGAGCGTGCGCTCCCAGGAACGGCGACCCGTGGCGCTGGGAGCGGGCGGCGCGGTCCTGGCTGCGCTGTGGGGGAGCAGCGGGAGCGGGGTCCGCTTGTGTGACCAGCAGGGAAACACTCGCGCTTTTGCATTGTTCTCCCGTGCCCTCACCGCCCCCCCGTCTCCCCCCCCACACCCACCCACCCCCTTTTTACCTGAAGTTGTTATGTTAAATAAAAAACCCTTCGGAGGGACGTGTTATTGGCGTGTACAGAAAGCAGTTATTTGGGGTGAGGCATACGTGGAAAACTTGGTCGAGAGCCTTCCCCAGAGGAGTAAACAGTTTCTATTTCGGATGAAGCACATGGGAGTGATGGAAATACACAGCTGTCCCAGCTTTTATCTGGCGCGTTTTTGGGGCGTATTTAAGCGTATTGTTAAAAGGTTCCTCTCGGAAAGTCTCTCCGCTCCTCCTCTCTTTCCCCCTTTCCAGTGTTGCCGATGCTATCTAATGGTGGTGCTGTGTACTCGCTGTGCTGAATTCATTTACTTAAAAAAATCTCTGTTAGTACTGCTCTCAGGCCGTGTCAGCTGCTGTGAAAAGGGAAACAACAAAAGGCACTGTTCTTTTAATTTACTTCTCAATTACACTTTTTCTTTAAGATCTCTTAGAAGTTTCTCTTGTCACGTGGTAAGGCTTACTACAACATTAGGCAGTTGATAGGGAATACCTATTTTAGGTAAAGGTCTGTTGTTCCATTCTTTTTCCTATAGTCACCTTACTTGCTCCATATTTACAGTTGCACTAACGAGAAGATGAAACTGTCTGTATTTAGTTTCCTTCCTTCCTTTGTCCTCAAGGTTGAGAAAAATGCTGATAGCCGTTAACATAAAAAGTAATAGAAATGCCTGTTAGTATGTTGAGACTTTTTCTGACAAACATGATGGTGAATTATATGTGTAAAGTATCCTAAGGGCCGTGTTGGAGAAGTGTCGGATTGCCTGGCTGTTTGTAGGGCTTTTAAAATGCATTGGAAAGCATGATGGAATCGGCTGTTTGGCAGCTACGTGCACCTGAGGTAGATGAAATGTTTAAGTAGTTAAGAGCACATCGAACAGATGGTTCTGAATTATACATGCAGCTAAGGTCTTAGAAGATTTGGTAGATTACAAATGGTGAGCAACAGAGGATAAGCAGTTTCAGACAATGATAGTTACTGTATTGGAGGTCTCATACCTGTAGTAAACTGTGTGTGCATTTTTGTTGAAGTGCTGCAAAAGAAATAGACTGCCCTGAAGAATAGGGCAGTGCACCTTTCTCAGGAGTGGCTCAAAGTCAGTTCTGAATGGCACAAAATAGTTTTGTGACTGAGGTGTACCTGTAATAAGCTGGAATTGCTCTATTGGTATTCATCATCTTTTTTTTTTTTTTTTTTTTTTAAACTAAATACCTCTGTACTCATTTCCTTGCAGTTTTATATTGCTAGGGAAAAAAACAAACAAACAAACAAACAACCAACCAAGTGCTTTTAAGACTCATTCTTGTAGATTGTTGTAAATCAGTGTATTGAAAATATGTTGTAAAATTATTTGAATGGGGTTAGGGGAAGGATAATGTGAACTTTTTATATTTTGGGAGAAAGGTGTTAATGAAAATAAGCAAAGACAGTTATCTCTTTAGAGGATAAATTAGCACTATTTTTATATTGTGCAAGAAATTAGCCACGGTTAGGCATTGCAGTATTACTGTTTGCTGGTTTTACTGACCTCGTGGTAGGGAGAAATTGCCACAGGGCTGGCATGTGTTTCTGAGACACAGAAAACTTGAATAAGGAAGTAATGGAAGTCTTTCTTTTTGGGTCCTGTTGCCTGTTCCTTTGTTTGCATGTTTATTATAGAACTGCAGTGTGAAGGAGCAGATGTTTCGGAAAACATCCTGATGTGTTGCTTTTTCTTATGGGAGTGCATAACTGTTCCTTCTGATGCATCGACTTGACAGCTGGTTGATTTCATGGAGCTGCTAAGAAGCCGTTACTGGTGTCATCGAATTGAAACAGAACAGTCATTGGCTGCTTGAACTGCAATTGTTAAAGATTTCCTTGCTACTTTTGTGTCCCTGCAAGAAGTGGAATATCACAGCTGCAAAAGGGGAGTTTGTGCTCTGCCTCATCTCCCTGAATTAAGGATGAGGAGGTACTTGACTGCTTCTAGTTTTACAGTATTACAATGGCATATGGCATATTTAGAACTAAGATTGGAGTCATTGGGAGGTATAGATAGTGCTGCCAAAAATGCAGTTTCCTACACACACTGAATACAGTAAGGGGATCCCACAGTTCAAGTTACTTCACTTGTTTTGTGTCCCTAATACAGGTTTCTTTAAAGAATTTTTACTTTCTTCTTGGTGCTAGGTAGGAGTAAAAAGAACAGGTAATGCCCCAGAACCTGTCTGTTTTTGTCAGAGATCCAAGGCTGTAGTAGGATAAAAATGTACTGTAATAATACAGAACAGTTTTTGTTTTGTTTGACGAATAAGGTGATGTTACTCTAATAGAAGATTATGGAAGGGTAGTACTCCATGTTTTCGTCATCTAGCGAATTTGATGCAGTGAGGATTTCCCAAGTCAGTTTTCTCTGCAGTGTGGTTCAGCTTTTGGTTTGTTTCTGTTTTACTACTGCGCGTCCAATAAATGGTGCCATGCCATGTCCTAAGGTGCTTTGTGGTCTTAGGTTGCCATCAGAAGGAATACTGACATGGGCATCAAGGGCAGCAGTGCTTTTTGTCATTGTTAAATTGTTCACTGTGAAGCATCCTGAACGTTAACAGAATGGAATGTATGTCAGACAGCCTGTTTAAAGAAATCTTGTATTAGTGGTGAGGATAACATTGTGCGAAATCCAAAATGTAGCTGTAGTTGTTCTTTCTCACCTCACTAGAATGGGTAAATTGAATGTCTTTTGTAAAAGAAGGTATGCTTAAATTTTTTGTTGTTGTTTTACTGTTACATTTTAGATTAAAAATCAGTTTGTTGTATTTTCAGCGTGCAATGGTAGGACAATGGTCTGTTCATCTTTTATGTGATTGGTAGAGATTTTGGAGTTCTTGGGATCTAGGACTGTAAACAAGACTGTTCAATATTAGATTAGAGGAAGCAAATCCATTTCTTTACCATCCCTCACAATATACCTACTTGGTTTTACAGAAATAGTTAGCAAGAGCTGAGTTACCACTTCTCTGAGTTTCTGAGTACTTCTGTGGAGGTGAGAATGTGTTCATTGCACAGCTGTGCAAGCTAGGGCTCTGTCAGGGAGCAGTGAGTCTTTTAGAAGTTGTTGGTAGAAGAGAAAGAAAGGGTGTGTTCATGGCTGATCTGTGCTTTTCCTATTAGACACTTTGAAAACTGAAATGCACGGTTTGTCAATTGGAAAAAGCAATGCTGCTTCAGTACTGAAGTTGCCTGCGCAGAGCATTTAAAATTTGGGGTTGTACTTTCATATAGTCTTTCCAGAATGGCCAAGAAAAGTAATGTACTTTTCAGTTTTACCTTGAAAATATGTGATTAAGATATAAACTAAAAATGTAGAAGAGCATCTTATTCAATTAGCACACCACTTCTCATAGTAGCTGAGTTCTTACCCTTTTACTTTTCTACTGCCTCTAAATTTACAGTTATATAATGCCCCAGTTTGAGCGTTCTTTGCCAAATAAATAAAGATTAAAGAAAAAAATTGTGTTCTTTTTAAATTTGACAGTGGATTTCTTACTGAAAACAAAATCACCAAGGTTTATGATGTCTTTCAAACTTATTTCTTTAAAAAAGAGAGACTTATTTTATTTCCCACACTCTCATTTAATGAGACCACCAGGTGATGAGAAGACTTCAGTGTAGAGATGTTGTGTACATTTGCAGTTTTTTAATGTAGTAATAAGAAAATGAAGATGCAGGGTTTTTCTTTCCTTACTTTAACGTAATTAATTTATGCATTTTACATGATTTGTAATAAAAATATTTTATCTTTCTGTTAGTGTTTTTTGATAGTGTCAGGGGATATCTCAGATGTAATCTCTGCAAGCTTGAAAAAAAAAAAAAGAGCACGCAAGTCAGTATCTGTTTTATTTTTTCAGAAG